TTGTCTGAGGTTTCCATCGATGCTTGATCGATACCGCTCGGACCAGTCGTACTTTGTGCCTGGCGTCCTTCGTGGATGAATTGGTTTAGCCACGTCTGGAGGCGTGAGCGGGACACGCCGTGCGAATCTATCGGCGGAGGTGTTAGGTTTCACGGTTTTTCGTTACCGCCCACAAAAAAGAATTACACGCACTACACCGAAAACACACACTAAAAAATATACACAAACTACACCGAAACACACATTAAAGAAAAAACACACACTACACCGAAAACGCACACTAAAAAATATACACACACTACACCGAAACACACACTAAAAAAAATTACACACACTACACCGTAAACACAGATTAGAAAAAATACACACATTAACAAAATTACAAACACTACACCCAAAACACACACTACATCCAAAACACACACTACACCGTTAGTGTGTGTTTTCAGTGTTGTGTGTGTGTATTTTTTAGTGTGTGTTTTCGGTGTAGTGTGTGTATATTTTGTAAGTGTTTTTTCCGATGTCGTTTGTGTATTTTTTAGTGTGTGTTTTTGGTGTAGTGTGTGTATATTTTTCAGTGTGTGTTTTCAAAATAAAATGTGAAACGCCCAAAAAACTATTTCACGATTAAAATCAACAAAAAATGTGTACAATAGTACATAGATTTTAGTTAAAATTGGTGTCACGTCCAAAAAACTATTTCTCGATCCAAATAACCAAAAACTGTATACTATAGTACACAGATTTTGGATAAAATTGGTGGAACGTCCAAAAATTTATTTGACGATCGAAATCACCAAAAACTGTATACTATAGTACACTGATTTTGGATAAATTTGGTGGAACGTTCTAAAAACTTTTTCACGATCAAAATCACCAAAACAGTATACTATAGTACACAAATTTTAGTTAAAATTAGTGCAACATCCAAAAAACTATTTCTCGATCCAAATCACCAAAAACTGTATACTATAGTACACAAATTTTGGATTAAATTGGTGGAACGTCCAAAATTTTATTTGACGATCAAAAACACTAAAAACTTTATACTATAGTACACATATTTTGGGTAGAATTGGTGGAACGTTCAAAAAACTTTTCCACGATCAAAATCACCAAAAACAGTATACTATAGTACACAAATTTTGGATAAAATTGGTGGAACGTCCAAAAATTTATTTGACGATCAAATCACCAAAAACTGTATACTAAGTACACATATTTTCGGTAAAATTGGTGGAACGTCCAAAAAACTTTTTCACGATCAAAATCACCAAAAACAGTATACTATAGTACACAGATTTTAGTTAAAATTAGTGCAACGTCCAAAAACTATTTCACGATCAAAATCATCAAAAACTATATAATATAGTACACAAATTTTGTGTAAAATTGGTGGAACGTCCAAAAAAAATTTTCACGATCAAAATCACCAGAAACTGATTCCAAATTTTATAAAAAATTGTGTACTATAGTATACAGTTTTTGGTGATTTTGATCGTGGAATAATTTTTTGGACGTTGCACACATTTTAACTTTGATAAACATCTTAATATATTTGAGTGCTAAAAAATATTCAAAATAATTTCAACATTTTAGTAATTTTTAGGGAAAAAAACGTGTGCAATAGTATACAATTTTTTTGTGATTTTTATTGATTCTTCAAAATTTGTTGCTCAAATTTCCAGTGACATCAATAACAATCTCAAATACCTCAAGAACATCCTTAACTTGAATATTTGCTTAAAGACCCCTTTTGGATCCATTTAACAAAGAATATTTCTTGATTTTTCCTCTTGCTCCAATGCAATAACCATATTATATCCATTGATTTCACACCTCTCTACCTGAAATCAAGAAAGAAATCCTCATTTTAATCGAACTCGAAAAATATATACGGACGCTCGAATGATGCTACTAATGTATATTCCGATTCAACCAATACGGAATAAGTGTTCCGTGATTCCGTCTTCAAGTGAGCGCATAACAACAATCAACGGAAAGTCGGAAACATTCTTATTTAGATCATAATTTCATGATCAAACAAGTATATATACATAATAGCTAACCAACAATGTGATGAAGAACAGAAAGAAATTAACTAACAAGAAGCAAGAAAACCTCTTCATCAATGCCTTCTTTGTTCACACAATTCAAGAAAGACGAAATGTACACAAACGCGAACAAGAACCGAAAACCCGACAGTATGCATATTCGATTTGAACCCTGACTCTGTATTCTCCAATCTGTATATATTTACTAAAATCAAGAACCTAATCCAACATATTTTTTGCTTGATTCCCCCTCAAATTTTAGGTCTACAATTTGAAAAAATTCAATGAAAATCTTCAAATTTCAATTTCTAAAAAAAAAAAAAACAGTTTTATGTACAAGAAGAACCCAGAAAATGAATGAAAGAAACTCATTGGTTCATTCGTCGTCGTTTCGTTGGGAAGCGCTCCGCCAGAACCCAGCCCCATAAAACCGGTCCCACATCTCGTTGTCCCAGTCAACGGCGTCGTTTTGCCCACTGCAATCGTCGTCTTCGGTCGATTCCTCGTCGCCGCCGTAAAATCCGAACGAATTAGTTTTCCGGTGATTCTCCTCCACCTCCGACGAGGAGGAGTGCTTCCTCTTCTTCCTCAACAGCCTGTTCCTCCTCTTCTTCCTCCACAGCCCCACCGGGAGGCGATACACGGCGAGGATTAAGAGGTGCATCATCCCGCACGGACAGCAGCAGCACACCGCCGCGCACTCTCCCGCCGTCTCCCCCATCTTGGTCCCCCGGCGAACCCCTCCCCCGTTTTTCGCGGCGAACCGCTGATTCGGTGACGTCAGCACCGGCTGCATCCGCGCCGCGGCCGCCGCTGTTGACTCCACGGCGGTCTTTCCCGACATTGAAGCCGGCCCCAAATTACTGTACATAATCAGTAAAACCAAATTTTATCTTGAGAGAAGAAAAATCTTTGAATCCTCAGTTATCAAATCCTTTTGGATCGAGAAAACTGAACAGATAAGAGAGAGAGAGAGGAGAGAGATTCCGAAAATGGAGGATAAATATTTTGAAGATTTTTTTCAGGCGAAAACGGCTTCATTTATATATATGATAAATATTAATATTAATATTATTATTATATTAATTAATAAGTAATACGTATGAGAGGAATTTATGTGTTAAAATTACTTGTTACGACTTCCGCGTTGAATTAATCAAATTGACACTAACGAAAAAACATGTTTTCATTTTTTTAATGGAATTTGCTACAAAATTTTCGTTAATTAAAAATTAATTAATTTTATTCAAACTTGTACGTTACATTAATAATTCAAAAACTTAGCCTAATATTATTTTGATAAAACTTTGAATTAGTATAGCCATCAACTAATGATGGTTGACGTGGAAAGACGAGTGGGGGTGAAGAAAATTAGTGGTAAACACGTCTTCTAATTAATCCAAATGTCATCAAATTAATGGTTGTTTACTAAACTTTTGGAACTTTTTTACCTTCTAGATTATATAATAATTATTTTGAGGAAATAAGGTTGTTGGGTTAGAATCCGAGTGGGATTAGACTAGTTAAGCACTTTGGTTAAATATATATATATATATTAATAAAAGGATTGAAAAGTTGAAATGTAGGAGTGAGGTGGGAGTGGAGAAAGTAAATTTCGACTGTCAGTAACAATAAGTCAGAAGTGACAAATGACATGTGACCATCAAATACGATAGAGACGGCCTGTCAATAATACTTTTTGCACCTTTGACCGACCTCCTCTCTATGCTCTTTTTGTCTATTTCTAATTTAATACCTCAAAACAGTTTCAAAACTAGAAGGTTCTTCTCCTCGATATAAGTTGAAAACAAATATATGGCAAATTAAAGTCACTTGAATAATTACAATTACCTTCTTCAATTATAAATCTTCTTACATGTTCATCCTCGCAATGTTAAATTTAGTGAAGTATTCTTCTATTTATACTCGTTTTATCTCAGTCGTCTCTCTTGACTTGTAAACGTCGGATTGTGGTATATCAAAAAGTGCATTTTTTTGCAAAACATGTACAGATTAAAGAACATTTCATAGAAGCTAGAAGATTCTGTTTAACTTGACACATAAGGATAGACCTGTAAAAAGATTTATAGTTGAATGGGGGTTAATTGTAATTATCCAAACATGAGGGACCTAATTGTAATTATCCAAACATGAGGGGACTAATCATAATTATCAGAACATGAGGGACTAATCATAATTATCAGAACATGAGGGGACTAATTGTACATAAAGAATTTTTTTCATATTTTATTTCATTTTTAAATGTGGAATGGGTATAAGTCATTTATCAAATAAAATGACGTAATCCAAAACGAGTGAATACCTGGATTCTATACTTATCCGAATCAAGGTCATATAACGATAGCGTGAATTGTTATGCATAGATCATTAAGACATTCTAAATTTAGAAATAATTTTGAGTGATTAAGTAAATCAAATTAATATACAGCAAGAAAAAATATTAGCCAAGATAGTTTTTGGAACAGAGAACTAACAATTTTGAAGCAAAGAGTTCAATTTGGCAACCGACATTTGCGCGCTACGAAGATCTTCCTCCATTTTATCAGACACAAAGCTTGAGCTGCAAGGCATAATTTCCACCAACTCGGTTTTTCTCTTCATCGCTTCGGCTTTTGCTTTTCGTAAATCATCGATTTTTCGCAACTCATTTGCCAATTCCTCGTCCATGTTTTTCGCCTCTTCGTCCTTCAATTCTGCTGCGAAAAAGCTCTGGTGGTACTCGATAATCACACTCTCGATTTCGTGTTTTCCGTTCTCTTTAACTTCCAAAAGCATTTCTTTCTCCTTTACGATACTGTGAAGCTTGCGTTGCAATTCTCCTTCGGACAGGGATTCTTTTTGAACCTCCATTTCGAGCACCTGTATCTCACTGTCTATCTTGCTCAATTTTCCTGTCAAAAGTTCAACTTCCTTCCTCACATTTCGCAGGTTCTCTTTTCCAAGTTTTATTTGATTCTGTAGTTTCGTTTTCTCTTCCTCGGACTTCAGCAATTCAGTAGCTGTGCCGCTCTTTTGCCAATTCCTTTGTGAGAGTTCGCCGGTAGTTCTATCGACATTGTCTATTGCAAACAGTACTCGATCGCTTTCCAGTTTCTTGCTTTCCTCCTCCACTTTTGATTTCAAGTTTTCCAGGCAGTTTTTCATTTCTGTTTCTGTTTGTCTGAACTTCAAAAGGGAATCCATCACTTGTTTCTTGGAGAAGTGAAGATGGGCCAGCTCATCTTTCCTTTGGGTTAGATTCTGCGAAGAAGCAGTCAATCTTGATTTTGCTCGAGCCTCACGGTTTTCGAAATATTGCAGTGAAGTACAAAGGCTAGTCAAGGAGTGTTTTACAGCGAACAATTTATTGTTAGCCACATCTTTTCTGTCGTGAAGCTCTGAAGAAAGGGATTTCAGAAGTGCACACTCCTCGTGTTTTGCCTGAACACCGCTTTCCAGTTTGCAAATTTCTACAGAAAGCGCATCGATCTCAGCCATTAATCTCTCAAGTGAACAGAAAGCGCTCATTGTCTTTGCAGAGTAAGAAAGGTTTTCTTGTGCTTCAACAAGTTTCGTTCTTAGAGTATCGAGATCCTTAAACACATCCAAAGGTAGAGTGCCAGATGATTTTTCTTCCATTTCCATATTTGTTATCACGGACCGATTCACATGATTGTCCTCGTCACAATCATTATGTGTACCTGGTCCATTAAGTCCCAGCAGATGAATACTCCCTATGAACTCGCTACTTTCTTTTTCAGACATGTCACTCATCACAACTTCCAAATGCGAATTAACGGAAGATTGAGCATCAGTATCCTGCACATGCACATCATACAAGTTCGTTTCCTCCAATAAACTCTCACTAATAGTTGCTGGATAGCCCTCTTCTAAACCAAGAGCATTGTCGTCATTCCGTAAATAAGGCGCAAGAGAACCCATTGCCTTCCTTCCCGATTCATCATCAACGGAAATAGAAGCTTCACCGAACCTAAGACATAGGCCTTCATCAATTTCAACAAGCTTTTCTGGAGAGCTGAAATCTTCTTTGGTACCTACATTTCTGCGTTGACCAGAAGCAATAACTCTTTTGTATTCGTCCCTCTCTTGCATGGCCTTCTCATACAGACTCAATAACTTGTCGTTTTCTTCATGCATTTCGGTTAGTTGATGTTTGAGACTCTCAAATTCTCTTTCCATCTCTAATTCCTTCTCTGCAGATACTTCCAAAAGGTGAGAATTGTGATCTTCAAATGAGTTTTCCTGAGGAATCACAGAAACATCACAGCTCATTTTACTGCTGTCTGCTTCGGCCCTCTCATATAATTCAATGAGTTTGTTATTATCCTCAATTAAGACTTTGAGTTTCCTTCTCAATTCATCATTTTCTTTTGACAATAAAATTGCACACTCGTGTGCTTCCGCTTCTCTTTGGCTTGCAGTTGCAATAGCATCAACCATAGTTTTAATTTCTGTTTGATCACTTTGTCCAATACTGGGACTATGATCATTTATCAGAGAGGGAACGTTAGTTTGTGGATTCTGCGCTTGTGCAGCCATAACTTCTTTGGCCAATCGCTCTGCCTCGAGTTCTTTTGCCAAGTCATTAACGTGCCTGCAAAATGTTCGACGGGGAAGGCTAAAATATTCAGGAAGATAACTGGATTATTAGATTTAGTTTTCACACACATTTCAAGAATTTTAAATATCTCATGTAACTTCTAGCATGGAAAGAAGATAAATCGTAATTAAAGAGCATAATAATGATGGCAAACAATCTATCATTGAACTAAATAAAATGGTAACACCTGCAGATACTGGAAATATAGGCGAAACTCAATCTTGAATTACCTTTCTAGCTTTTCTTTTTCATTAGTACAGAATTCAAGTTTCTTCTGAAGTGAGTCAAGCTCTGATTGGCTCTGAATGGCCTATGAAATAAAAAATGCAACTCATTCAGCGCAAAGAAGGTAGAAGTAATCCAAACAAATAAACGACATACTATGGGTTCAGTTAAACCCTGAATTTTTTTTTATTTTTTTTTTTGAGAATAAAGAAGATATACCTGTATGCGGAGGAACTCATTCTCCGCATTCATTGATGTGCGCCAAGGTGATGAAGATTCCTGCAGTAAAATGCAAAATAGGTTAGTTAATGCTCTGACTTCCAAAGAAGTCGAACAAGATGGAAGGTGAATAGATAATCTCTGCTAGAATCTCAATATCTGATCAACTGTGCTGCAGTTGATGAGCTCTATAACAACAGATATGACTACTCAGGTTTTAAAAGTTTCCTTACAGGGTAGCAATTAGAATGCATAGAGTAGAAGAAAAACAATACATTTATAAAGATTAAAAGAGCAAACAGGAAAATATTATTTCTGAGGCTCAAACCTAATTTATCCTGGTGAAAATATATCCCTCAATATGAACACTTGGCCTTATTTTTACCAAGAATCTGCCAATTTTATTTTACAGCTTTTTTGTATGAATAATGGCTTTACATTGATGTAGATAAAATGACATTATTTATTCTTTTATTACCTGATTGGAATTCAGAAAATAATCGTCACTTTCAATATCCATTGTGATATTATGACTCCCTTTCTGTTGAATCGGAAAGAACATATTTAGCATCAACCATCAGTAAAGCAATAAATTTAGTTAGTAGGAAAGAAAAGAACACATACTTTAGCAGGATCAGATTCATGCATGAGTTTCCAATCCAGAGCTTCTAGCAACTGCAGAACACA